ATGGATATACCCGCCTTCTTTCACTTATCTTTCCATTCCCACAACAATATACATAAAGAAATAGCAAATTTTGGACATAGTTCGAATGGTGATTAATCATGATTAATTCATTTTTAAGCTGTGATTAATCTGATTAAAAATGTTAATCGTTTGACAGCCCTAATATAAATATATATATATATATATATAGTATATCATGTGTCCCTGGGCAAGACACTTCACCCCAAGTGGCTCCTGTGGGGATTACCCACAGTATTGAGTATGTAAGTCACTTTGGATAAAAGCGTCTAACATGTAATGTAATCATGTGTTCCTGATAAATGGTCAGATGGACAAACATTGTGTAATTAATAAATCAGCAGTAAGGGGACAGTGTACAGGAGGTTTTCACATGAAAGAGAAGACTAATGGGAAATTACTCTCTTTCTCACTTTGTTTATTATTGTCATACGGTTTCCTGATTAATTTATGGACTTGATTGCTAGTTAAAATTGTCTTGTTTTTTGTTCATGTTCATTAAGAGAAAAACAGAAGATAAAGCAGCATATGCTTTAGGGCGGGGCTACCTTGTGATTGGCAGGTTGCTACAACAGTGTGGTACAGTTTGAGTGTTTCAACTTTGAATCTAACAGTGTTTTCCATTCCTATAAGTTAATTGTAATGCTTTGCTGCCTAAAGTGTCTTGTTCAGCACTCCCTCATTTGTCACTTTTGGTTCCAAAAAAACAAGAAGGCGCCAGTCAAAATGCTAAACTCAAGGATTTGAGACGACCCTTAACAAAAAAGGGATGTCACAGTGACTACGTCCACTTCTTATATAAAGTCTATGGTTCTGACAGATGCTGCCTTTTGTCCCCTTGCTCAGAGAACATCCCTGAGAAGTGGACTCCTGAGGTGAAACACTTCTGCCCTAATGTGCCCATTATTCTGGTGGGAAATAAAAAGGACCTGCGTAACGATGAGCACACCCGGAGAGAGCTTGCCAAAATGAAGCAGGTAAATAAGGTCAAACTGACACATAAACCAGTCTTCTAGTGTTGAAAGCCTGTTTCCTAAAACGTGTCCTGACCTTCTCTTCAGGAACCTGTGAAACCGGAGGATGGACGGGACATGGCTAACAGGATCAGTGCCTTTGGATACATGGAGTGCTCTGCAAAAACAAAGGATGGTGTGAGGGAAGTGTTCGAAATGGCCACCAGGGCTGCACTACAGGCCAGGCGGGGAAAGAAGAGCAATAAATGTGTCCTACTGTAAACAGGGGGGGGCACGAGGACTGCCTCCCCCAGGGGGAAAGAAGAAGGAGCATTAGGTCAAACCTACCCCCAAACACACCCACACAAAAGACTGTTCTCCCCAGTTTTTCCTAAAGGTGTAATGCTTTTACTTTCTTTGTCTTAAGCAAAAGTAGTCAGGTTCTGTCAGTATTCATTTTTGAGGTTATGGAAACTACTTTTTTGTACTTTAACATGAGTAACTTTGCCATAATGAAACCTCCTTTATCAACATGTACTATGTAATCAAAGAGGTCAGCCAGGGGCCTGCTGTGTCATACCTGCCAACTACAGTTAAGTGCTTAAGCCCTGTCTGCTGATCTGAGGAATGTTTCCACAGCCAATAGGGTGAAGTACCTGTACACTGTGACCCTTAATCCTTTTAATTATTTCAACAAACAGATGCGCACATTGAAGTCAAAATGTGTTTGTGTGCTTCATATACAAATCCTAATGTGCATTATGATCACTTGCACAATATGAGACTGGAAACTCATTTTGTTAAACGCAAATGGAAACGTAGTGTTTTGTGTAATAAATTACTTTGTAAGAATCTTGATCATTTGCATCACGTGCTTGATGACGCTGAATGACAGTAAACCCAGTGAGGGCGTGTTTCAGAGTTGGGGTCTGCAGTGAAGATATAAGCCGATCTTTGGTTATCTCATTAAAACAGATGCAGGGTGTTTGAGGGGAATGTTGCTATTCTAATTTAACGAAACCATCCCTTAAGTGTTTTAATAAAAAAAATTAAGGTATAACGTGAGAAACACTTTTTTACTTAATTGCCTCACTTTTTGGCCTCCTACCTTCCAGGCCATCTTGACTCGCACTACAACAGGAAACATAGGAAACAAGTGCTTTATTTAACATGCAGGAAAACCAACATTACAACACATTTGCAGATTCTGTTCTTTGGCATTTTACCAAGATTGGCCTTTCTGTGTAAACCAAACACTGACGTTCATCATTTTACAAATGCAAACTGAATATTATTCAAAAATGTTTACACGTCAATTGAATCAGTTTTAGTAATCACTGATATCACTGTATTTTGAAAATAGTTTAAGGTGATGGAAATCTTGGATAACCTGTGAATTATATAAGTGACAAATATTCAGTCCACTTGCCAGTTTATTAGGCACACTAAGCTTACACTAATAAACCGACGTGATGGAAAAATATATATATTGTCCTACCCCATTTACATCAGTGAGTATACACTAAACATAATCACCTGGTAGTCATAATACAGTTCAAAAGCATAAACTACAGCCCAACAAAGTAAAGTAACATTTGATTAACACCTGCGTAAACAAAACTAATAGTTTTAATGATTTAAACCTCCATGAAATTAGAATTTACTGCATGATTGAGTATGATTTGTGTAGAGAGCAATAAGTCAAGACAAATGATTGACAGTCAAAATAAGACTGATATGATGCTCATTGTAAGCAACACAATATCTATTCTAGAGGATGTGAATATTTTCTTTGGTGAATTACATTTTTTAAAGGCAACCTATAAGATGTGCGGTCTGAAGGCAAGAGCAGTGGTTAATGTGTGATTTCTTTGTATCCATAAACAGCTCCAAGGTGAAAAAGGGATACCCAATGTAACCAGAGCTCCTTGGACACTTGATGATAAAAAACATGTATCACCATAGAATGTCTGTTGTTGCTGCTGGGCAAAAACAAAAATGGCTGCACACTCATTCCTCAGATAAATAAATATACAGCCAGGCATCGGACACTGCTGTGAAAATCCTCAGTTTGATAGTCATTCGTTCTTCTTGGCTGTTACAAGTCCTGAGCGGGCGAGAAACATGGGAAGCAGAGCTAGAGCTCCCAGAGCTGCAGCCACTAACGGCCGGTAGAACATCCATCCTACTCCGATGGTGAGGAGGGACAGAGAGCAGGAGACACACAGGGCGAAGATCTTCAGCCCCACGGAGACGAGCTCTCTGAGGATAGGAACCCAGTCCACTGTACGCACACCACAGAAAACATTAGGGACAGGAGATGCCAGAAATCAATCCATGATGTGTGAGCAGTGAGTGTGTGTTTACCCAGCGTGTAGATGATGCGCATGGTCATCTGGATGCTGAGGAACATGAGGGCCCAGCCTGCAGCCCTGAGTCCCCACGTCTTCATACTGTTGGACTCCTGCTCCTTCTCAAAAACCTCCTACAGAAACAACAGAACGATCAACTTCCAGAACCAAAGACTACGTGGAAAATATCAAAACATGCTATCATCCATTTTTCTATGCTGATTCCTTCTAACCATCATTTTCAGATGTTTTTTCTTCCTAATAACTATAATTGACGGCATACACAAACATTTCTGGAACATTTAAATTCAACTGTATGTTCATAACAAGACTTTGACAATTCAATAAATTCCCCAAAGCTGTCCAAGGAATAAAATGAAATCCCCGCTGACCTCTGCAGAGAGCTCCTCCAGGTACAGGATCTCCAGAGTGTCTCCTGACTTGGTTCTATACGGCCTCAGCTGCTCCCCTCTCTGCATGGCCACAACACTGACCTGAAAACAGTCATGGTTTATCAACGAACAAGATTTCATTAGAAGTAAAGGTATGTGATCTGAAGAAAGATATAGTTTCAGTTAGGGCTAAAACTCTTTGGCCGGAATAAGATCTTAAGACAATTAAATGTCCACTATTTTGGTTAAGTTTTGTTTTTTTTCTCTTTATTTTAATTAACAGAAGAACAGACGTCTTAGTGTTTTAGATTGCTGGTTGAGCAAACAATGATTTCAATAGTTCTCATTGGGCTGAATGAAATAATGGTTACAACGAATAACTATTTGTATTATTAGTTCAATGTTTTGGGTTATTTTTTGATTAAGCATTTAGTCATGTTTAGTTATGTGTGAGAGACCAAAGAGAAATCTATTTTCAAGACTTTGATGTTAACGTTGTGCCAAGTATAGCGCAGCACGATGCATTTGTTTATGAGGGGTCAAAATGTTCTAGGTATAAATGCTCATATTTTTTCCACACCGCCCAAAATTCACAATATGATAAATATACACATTTTAGGAAAAGTCACAAAGTTTGAGATGAGTGGGTTTTATGTTTACAGGGTTACATTTATTTGAAAGTGCAGGGAGATAAAAATGACCCTGTGGCGGTTCTAGTGTTGATACCATAATATCACAAAGGATACAGAGGAAACTACTTAAAGACAATGATCTACTGCTCTGCCATCATGAAGGAAATGTATATTCTAACTGGTCCACTTACAGTTTGAGCCGGTCCGAAGGGAGACCTCTCGCCACTCAAACCAGCGAAGGAGAATCTCACTCGCACATCCCCGACCTTGTGAGCAAAACAATAAACTCAATAACTGCACCAATGTACGAGCATAACCCTTCAGCAGTTTGTGTTTGTAGTGAAAGTGAAAATGCACTTCATGAAGCTCACCTCAGGCCTGCGTGGGTTTTGGGTGTGATAGAAATAATCGTCATCAATTCTGAGGAAAGGGTCGATGTTAAAGAGGGATAAATCCCTCAGGCTCAGCGTCTGGAAGTTATTTATCTGCTCCACCAGGCCTGAGGACAACAAAACAATTAGTTAAATATTTAGGATTCAAATTAAAACAATGTTACATACACACAATAGTGTATCGCTGTTATTTACTTAATGTATTTGTGTGTATAATTCTTTGAAGATACCTTTGGACAGACTAAAAGGTCCAACTCCAACATCAGGAGCCACGACTGTCACACTCTCAACTGCCATGGCACTAAAATCAAGAGATGAAATTAGAGATAAACTCCACACAAACACACAACATTTTTATTTATTGATCCATATTTGTGTACCTCGGATTCTGGTGACCAATTTCCTTATCAAAATGGCGACTGTTAACCAACTCGGATTTCCACTCGGTGTCTAAAGAAAATGAATCACAACTCTTTCATTCCAACAGCACAGATTAATCCATCAGTTGTTCAATATTTTAATAATTTTTCTACGAATAAAAAGAATCAACATCCTTAAAAATCCAGATATATGTTCCAGAATATACAGTATTTAAGTTGTGGGCAAAACAAGATTTGAGACATTTTTCACTATTTTCTGACATGTTATACTTTACAGCATGTTGTTGTCAAATACTGGAAAAATCACCAACTCACTGTAGTTGTATGTCGTCTCAGATTTGGTCTGACCATCCTCTTGGTAATCCCTAAAATCAGAACAGAGTAACAAACTCACTTCAAGCCTATGATGCTCTGTAATTCAGCCAACATTTTTCCACCCGACCGCACCCTGAATGTTGACATAAGCAGAGAACAGACTTACTTGCTCTCCTGGTACTCCACCCACTGATACATCTCCACCTGCCTCTTCAGCTTCACTGCCTGCACCAACACTCTGTAGTTTGGATCGTGGAGGGGCTGTGAACAGAGTGGCATATGATTAATCCCCTGAAATAAGGTTTACTTCAGAATATGACTTTAACTAAGCAACTTAGAATGTTTTCTGGTAGCATGCCATTTCATTAAAGTGTCAAACTAGATAGAGAATTAAAGAAAATGATAACAAGATGTTTCCTCTAATCTGTACTGAACTTGTACAATTAATATACTGTACTTATATATCTATATCAGCATTTTCTGACATGAGTAGGTAAATATGGAATACCGCCTGACTGATAAAGGATTTGTGAGATTTAAACAAACTGAAAATGAAGTGATAGTTTTTTACTAAAATATAAACTTTTTGTTGATAAGGATCTTATTTGGTTGTTACAGAATTGTACATAGTATTTCCAAAATCAAAAGTATGTCTTTATAACAATGACACAAACTTTCAAGTGGTTTTCAAGTTAAATAAGTTCAAGATTTTAGCGCAAGTGTGGAAGATAAAACAACATGCAAGGAGTCATCGAGACATTGTGGAGGAATCTGATGACCATAAACACTCAACAAGTTGATCCCAGTTGTTTGCTTCAGAAATTACAAAAAATGATGGAGTCTTTATCAGTATGTGATTAGAGAGAGTGCCCTGACACATCATTTTACCTGTGAGGTGTGCAGCTTTGCAGACAGGTGCACTAAACGCTCGTTGTTCTGCGGGTCGAGGTGGGAGAAAGGCTCCAACGACACAACCTGAGAAAGACCCTCATCCAGGGAATATGCTGTTCGCAGAGCCCGCCCCTGAGAACAGAAACCGTGACAGAGAGCATGAACTGTGTTGGTCTGGATGAACAAAAATGTAACTGACTTGAATAGTGTGCATTGTGGCTTTGACGTGACATACATGAATGCAACTGCATTCCTTACCTCATTGGTAAAGAGAATATAGATGGAGAGGAAAAACAGTCCGACACCAACAACTGTTCCTCCTGCAGTCTCACTTAATCGCTCCAGGAATCCAGGGTTGGATTTAACAGACACACGCTTGTGTTGGTTTGGGTCCGTATTCTGAGACAAAAAAGCAACAAGAACAAGAGTTGAATGCACTAATGTGGGTGACATTATTTACTTGAAGAGGAAGTTTTGATAAATCACTCAAGTTAATATATTTTTGGCTTTATATTCTCCTCCACAACAGGACACAAATGTATATCATGTTTACTTTAAATAAATATTTGTATTATGTTTAATGTAGCACGATTCACCAGGACATTGGATAGTAATATAAAAGACTTGCCTAGCAGTCACTAGAATAGTTTATTAACATAAAACTGTGGAGAGTTTGGCTTGTCTCAGACATAATGAATAACTCAATGAGTCTGTTGCTGTTGTTTAACATTGTAAAAGCTGCTTTTACTTTAAACTCCAGGAGAATGCTCTCTAAGTGATGTTGAACATTACTGACAGATATGCAAAGTCAAAATCTGTCTCTAGAGCTAGGCGTGAAGGACACACCTCTTTTGTTCTGTGCTAATTTGGCTTCTGAGTATAGATATGTCAGTCAAACTTTGACTGATAGTTGTTGCATGATATTAGCAGTACTCGTGTAATGTTACTATATAGGTGCTGACGTTATTATTATACATTATATTAAAGTGAGTTAACGTAAACGTTTATCAGTTTAAATGTTAACGTTAACTGAAACTGAAAAATAGTTACGTCGCCAGCGTTGCAGCAAAGCTAACTCCAGAAACTGTTTTTGTTTCTCAGGTAAAAACAAAGCTTCTTAAAATGAATCACTTACTGTCTGTGCTGAAGACATGTCTCTGACTTGTTGAACTCTGCAGTCAAACAGAAACGTTTGTTAGCGAGAGTTGAAGATGCCAGGAGACTGGAAGTTGAAACACGGTACAGGATAGTGAGGACACCAGTGAAATGACACAGGAAGCGCTTTAATTGACGCCCGGGGTAGAACGGAACTCTCACGGGTAGGCGGAGTCGGTAAACCTATAGACGTATCTTCCACTATGCCGCATGGTTGTCACGGTGAGTTAAACAAGCACATCTCAAGGAGGCTTTTCCCGACCCACACGTCTAATTCGCAAAGCATTATGGGTAGTCGAGTTCTGAAGCAGCTCAGCGTCAGCAGCAAGCAATCTACTGCAATCTCTTAAAAAATGTCATCCTCTAGTAAAAGGTTACGTAATGTTGGAAACTTGGAATTATGCCAGTTAAAGCCATAGTTGTTGTAGTTGTTGTTGCGTGTTAAGGCATTTTTTATTCAGAATTTGTACAATAATTAGTCAAGTACATAAGTACAATTGACACACACACACACACACACACACACACACACACGATGTGCCAGTCTTAAGAGGATTATTGCAAAGGCACACAAAGCAATTACTGTCTGTCACCTGTCATCATCCTCATCCTCATCATCATCATCACCATCACCATATTTGTGAAAACAACTGACTGTACACAGACACCTTCACATAACTGAATAGGTTACATTTGCGAAAAGCACTACGACTGAGGGTGGCAGTAGCAGAACGGCTGAAAAGACTGTCAGGATGGAGCAGTGTGATATAATTGTGCTTGGAACTGGACTTAAGGTAATTAAACACATATTTAATGCAAAAATACCTTACCTTGTGTGTGAATAAATACAATCATCAATACCATTAACATGTTGTATTACGGTAAGATACAGGCTACTACATGATCTTTTAGTATATATGTAGACTATTTTACTTTTTAACACTTTATATGAAAGTAGTGGTCCCGCTTAAATGTAAACTTTATTTATTTGTATAGCACCTTTCATGTAAGATGCACAATTACTTAAAAATGCAATGAAAATTCAACATCTTTCTCATGTAGAACAGAAAAGAGAGCATTGCAGCAGTCGAGCCTGCTAGTATTGAATTGAGCATGCATGAGACTCAGTATTGGAGTGGGAGATAAACAGATTTCTAGATAAAGGCAGTTAGTGTGATATTACTGATGTGAGATTCAACATTTCTAAGTTTCTAAGAGCTTGTAGGCTTTTATTATGAACTGAGGGCTGACCTCCCCTATCTCTTTCAGGAATGTATCCTTTCTGGTTTACTGTCTCAAAGTGGGAAAAAGGTTCTTCACATTGACAGGAATCCTTACTATGGAGGAGAGAGTGCATCACTTTCTCCCCTTGAAGAGGTTTGTTCACATGAACATTGCATATCCTTCATTTGAAGAAGTTGCTGCTCATTTGTGGTGTTTAATATTTGATATGTTGTCTACAATTACAGCTTCACAGGAAGTTTAAGGTTCCTGGTCCTGATCAGTCAATGGGCCGTGGAAAAGAGTGGAACATCGACCTCATCCCCAAATTCTTTCTTGCCAACGGTGAGAGCCTAGCGCAGTTGAACTTGTGATAGGTGCATTATTGTAAATGAGTCGTTTTCTGTTCCCTCTGCCTTGTCTTTGCATCAGGTGACCTGGTGAAACTCTTGGTGCACACTGAAGTTACCCGATATTTGGACTTCAAAGTGGTTGAAGGCAGTTATGTTTACAAAGCAGGCAAAGTGCACAAAGTCCCCGGCACAGAAGAAGAAGCCATGCGTGCTTCAGGTGATTAAATTTGAACCTGAAGAACAATTCTTGATGATGACTTTTTATTCCATTGAGTAATTTTAAAACCAAATGATGTGTTTCAGATCTGATGGGCATGTTCGACAAGAGAAGATTCAGGAAGCTGCTGTTGTTTGCCCTGAACTTTGACATGAGAAATCCTCGGTCCCACCAGGATGTGGATCCTAACAAGATGACCACACGGGACCTCTTCTGCCGCTTCGACCTGGGACTAGATGTCATGGAGTTCACAGGTCATGCCATAGCCTTACACAGCAGTGAGAGGTCAGTCACAGGAACTCACTTAAACTGGATAACAAAGAATGTCAGGTGATCATTTTGGTTTCACCGGCCTGGTTCTGTCTCCTGCACCCTGCAGCTACCTGGACCAGCCGTGTGGGGAAACCCTGAGACGGATCCGGCGGTACTCTGAGTCTCTGTCCCACCACAACCCCAGTCCATACATCTACCCCGTGTACGGCCTGGGAGAACTACTGCAGGGATTTTCCAGGTAATATTATAAAGACTCAGATTGTCCCCTGAATTATTTTTGATACATTTTAGTTTTTCTTTAAGAGAGGTCAACATAAGATCAACATAGGAAACAAATTGTGGCATACAGGCTGTAAAAAGATCAGACTTTCACTACACAATGTTTGTGGCCAAAATAACTAACAATGACAACAATATTGTGATATCTATAGAAATATTGAAATAACAATAATAATGCTATGAATATCACATTCATCCTTAACTTTGTTTACTGTAAGTGTAACTGTACAAAAGAGCAACAAAAGATGATGAAACAAATAGAAATTGAGAGGGACTGGATTATTGACACGAATATCAATATTTAACCTTTTAAGTTGTTATTATTATTATTACTGGTATATTGTGATACCCCTGTGTGGAACTTTGCGTTGGCTACTAGATTTCATGATAGATCAATGACAGAAGATAGCCTGGATGTTTGTTATAATATATATATATTTTTTAATCTTGCACCATCGACATAAGAGTCACTGTGCATATTGATCAGGTCCTTGTGTCCTACCTGGTTCTGTTTTTCAGACTGAGTGCAGAGTACGGAGGAGCTTTCCTCTTGAGCACAGCAGTGGATGAGATCGTGATGGGTGACGGAAAAGTGAAAGCTGTGAAATGTGAGGGGAAGGCAAGTGTGTTTACATGGAGGAAGAATAGAAGTGTTGGGATGTTTGTAGAAAATGTCCAGCAGCACACTCAAAGATTTTCTCTCTGTTTTCGTTAACAGCTGTTCCGCTGTAAACAGCTCATCTGCGACCCCAGCTATGTTCCTCATCGAGTGAGGAAAGTGGGGCGTGTGATAAGAGTCATCTGTTTATTAAATCATCCGGTTAAAAACACCCACGAGGTCAACTCCTGTCAAATCATCATGCCTCAAACGCAACTCAACAGGAAATCTGGTATTTTAATCCCTTTTTTTTTTTTTACGAAGCATCAACAATTACTAATTATTATTTGAGAATAAACAATTGTGGTAGATTTTGGTTCATAAGAAAACCCCTTTGTTTCATCCATGCAGATATTTACATATCTGTGGTGTCTTATGCCCACAATGTGGCCTCAGCCGGGATGTACATCGCCACAGTGAGCACCGCTGTGGAAACCAGAAACCCAGAGACAGAGGTTCAGCCGGCGCTGGAGCTCCTCGAGCCCATCATGCAAAAGTTAGTAATGATTTCATTTATTTATTTATCATGGTTGTGTTAATCAAATAACTTTTTAAAGCTACATTTAATTAATTTTACATATTTTCTTTTATGGATAGGTAATGACAATGGTAAAAATATGAATAACCCCTAATGTCTTCATTATTAGTTCTATTGTCAGTATGAAAATACAGAGAATAAGTATTCAGAGGAATTGGTGTTAGGGTCTTTATTGTATTACTATTTATTTATCTACTTATTATTATTATTATTATTATCAGTTCTTATTTTTGTTTTTAAAGTTTTCCATGCATGTCTTGTCTGTTTGTTTCATTCTGATGCAACACTAATATAAATGAAATGTTTAAAATGTATATTTTAATAAAATAATGATAAAAGCAATAGTAGAATTACACTATTTAAAAACAAAATGACGTTATTTTATTTCACCACCTTGAACCTAGATTTGTTTCAGTCAGCAACTTGCTGGTTCCCAATGACGATGGAAAACAGAGTCAGGTAATGAGAAGACTTTCTGTGAAATAAAATAAAACATGAAATGAAATGGGATGAAGTTTGGTTGGTCTAGAGCTGGTGACAGATTTCCTCTCTCCTCTCTGTTCACTAGATATTTGTGTCCCGCTCATATGATGCATTAAACCACTTTGAGACTGAATACGAGGACATTAGAGACATGTACCGCCGGATCACAGGAACAGAGCTCTGCCTCGGAGGATCTCAGAGACATAACTCTCACACCTCGGATGAAGACTGAAAAAGACTTCAGGGACAAGTAATGCAACCGCTGGGAGGCCGTAATAACTATATTGAAGGTTATACTCACGGCCGTGAAGCAGAGGGGGGGCGATGGAGAGTGAGTATCTAAGGGAATATTGGAGGTTTTTTTCCTATAGTTAGTTTGCTATTTATACTTTCTGTGAAATTTGAAAAATTCATAACAATTTGGAAAAAAGCATTTATGATTTGAAGTTTTAATCTTCTTTAATCTTAATTGAAGAATTTACTCAATGTATTCAATATTTTTGTTACATTCTGTATTATTTAGATACTCTGGGGATATTAGTATTTTCTATTTTGAATTTGTATAATACTTGCCACTAATGAACATTTTTTATTTCAAATTTCAATTCTTACTATACTTGCCGCTAATGTTAATTTTTATTATATTTGTATCTTATTGCATCTTTTAAACATTTTTAACTAGTGTAATGCTTTACACTGATGATGGAAACATTTTTCCATAAATAAAGTATATATATAATGTTTTTGTATGGGACAAGGTGATGCTTTTGACTGATATAAAATCCTGAGAACGCTTGCACTTAGGATAGAAATACATCTTAGGTCTGTATTATTATTAATAAATCATTACTTTATAGTATCTAGCTTGGTGTTCATTATTCAATATGTTATTTGCTGGATTTAAACATTGAGACTGACACTGGGCATGTGGCACAGAGCCAGACGAATCCGGGGGATGTGAGGAGGATTTGTGGATCGTCTTATCTTTTGCAGCTTATGTGTGAGAAGGACAAAGCCACTGCATGGTGTCATGTGCGGTACACAGGCAGCTTGTAGGGTGGAGCCTGCCTGAGGCAGAGGACACACAGCGTAAGGAGAATTAGCCAAATGAAGGACAGTCACCACCAACACCTCGGGTTGAATACATACACATTGTTTATTGTTCTTATTTAAACATTTGTAAACAAAGAACCCTTTTATCTGCTGCAGATCCATTGTAGAGTTGCAACGAATAACCGACTAATCAATTACTCGATCAACAGAAAACTATTTTGATCATTGATAAATAAAATAAAAAGATTCAGGCAGAATTGGATAACCTGCATTTCTCTGTTCGGTAGTTATCTGAATATCCTCGGTGTTTGGACTGAAAAAAAACAGACATTTTTAGAAACATCACCAGTGAGAAACTGAGATGGAATTTTTTCTGTCATTTTATAAACCAAACAATGAATTGAGAGCATAACCAGCAAATTAATCAATAATGAAAATAGTTGTTGGTTGCAACCCCAGAAAATAGCTACTCTTCCAGGTGTCTTTACAAAAATAAATATTCCATATCCCACAAAAAACACATGTAAATCATAACAGGTTATTGTTTGTTTCTGTTTATACTTCTTTACAGTTTTTCTGAGACAGCTCACTGCTCAGATGACTGGGTGACGAGGCTGAATTTATCGCGTTTATCTAATAAAGAATAGTTGTTACTAAATAAAGTGTTTCTTTAGAGCTGGACGTCACTGAATTTGTTCCTTTGGAAGCATTGTGCAGAAGAAGAATAACCCTCCCGTAGACCTTGGGTCAATCCGACACCTCTAAACTCCATCTGCACAAATCAGTCCTTGTTTCTGTTGACACAGCAGCAACTCTTATTCCTGTTTGAGTGACAGCGCCGTGCTGACAGGAGGCGGGATCAGACCTGCAGCGACCACTCTGTTCTCACTGATCAGGAAGTTGAAGGTTGCACATGCATTTGCCTGCAAAACAGAAGAGATGAAAAAGAAAGACAGAAAGTTGAATTAGGGCGCCTCAATTAGTGTAAGAGCGTTGTGTGTGTGAGTCATAAAGTCAGAGAGACCCTGAGAATACTTTACCGTGTCTTGCACCTCCACAGCGATGCCTTTACGCTTGAGTAGAGCGAGGACTGAGGGGTCAATTCGTTCAGTCCGTGAACCTGTGCCCAGCACAAGAATCTCTGGATAAACAACAAGAAAATATGTCCAGATAAGTCAATAAATGCGGAATAACTTGAATAACTGCTTAGAAAACGTAATGAATGCAAATAAAATGTATTTGTTTCACAGGCTTCAGATGTAAACACTATTTACCACGGGGAATTTGGGACAAACATGTTAAACAGCGCTAAACACCACTATCTTTTTCTGATGTTTCTCTTCACACTATATTTTGGTTTTCTTTTTAATCCATCACTCAGCTACACATATATTTACCTATTCTTGGTTCAAGCATGTGGAAAAGTGAGACGCTTTCTTCTGTGATGTCTTTATGAGTGCCAATCTGCAGAGAGAGAGAGATATTTAATAAACAACAATAAACACAGTTGTTTGACTTCATCATAAATCAGTACTAGTTTGGATATTGATCTCACATTCCACTGCAGGATCGCAGGAGGCAGCAAAGCACAGGGCCCCAACACTTTGTTTCCGTCGATGTTGAATCCTCTGGCGCTGTAGCTGTAGATCATGGCCCCGCTGCCCGGCTCCTTCTGCATGACGGACACAGAGGTACGCTGGTACATCTCATCATCGCTGGGACCCAATCTGTGTGCACGAGACAGAAAGGGGCTGCAACAAACACAGTAGAATTAACTAGAATCAATGTCATTTTATTTACACAGGACTTGTCACTTATACTAACAATAGCAAGTATTAAGAGTGCTTGTAACCAGAGTCTCTGAAATTATGTTTTTATTGCACAGGTCTTATCCTGGGCTGGATGAATTTAATTGTGACCAGTTGTGATAATCGAGTACGAAAGGGAATTATAATCGAAATGATTAGCCCTATTTTCTCTGTGAATCCTCCACCACTTCAACAGGCTGCACTGAGGAACTGTTTCCATTTGGCCCAGTTTGAAAGCCAACATATCTAAAGCCAACCTACTGACAGGGCTGACAGCCAAAAGCTTTAGGCCTGTTTCTTCAGAAAAAAAGCCAAGAAAACGTTCTGCTTGCCAAAAGAGCTGCCGCACATTTCAGCGTCTTCTTACCCATTTTCTTCCTGACTTTACAAACACATTGGGCAAGCCCTTGTTGAGATGGGACACACTGCTCTTGTTAGTCCACTAGTGTCTCATCAGTGGAGCAGAGGACTTATGAGGTGAGTCAGACTGAAAGTAACCAAAGACTCCACCAGATGGAGCCAGAAGAAGGTTAACGTTTGTTTCTAAATGGGAATTTTTGAGTTTTAATGGAGTTACATCAAAAACCTTTACACAGAAGATGACAAAAAGTGAAATCAGTTCACTTTGCTCTCACAATGTTAATGTATTCCTATTTTCTAAGCAATCATTCAATCAATTGGTCAGCGACAATACAGCACATACAAACATTACCTTACATGACCTCTAAATGATTTATAAAGTACATATAATCTACAACAGGTACCCAAACTGAAAAGCTACACATGTGTTTTCTCAAAACTATGGCGTTTTAAATCACAAGTTTTAATAATTAGATTGTATGTGACACATACAGTATGCTCGCCTTTGAATCATATGGTCAATGGTCCATCTCTATTTTCTGTCATATTTTACAAAATACATTGTTGATTATTAAAAAAGATACAATGGGTGTATGTGACATCCCATGATATAATGTGACCTTCAGTGTAAAGAGCATGACTGGGATAGTAATGGTTATTTTAATTGTGTATTGATTTTAATGGGAATAACACTATGCTATACAAAATAGGGCATACAACTATTTCTTCCTCTGTTAAATAGATCTAACTTGTATTAAAGAATGGTGATAGTTGAAGCATTTCATAACAAAACAGGACTCCTCTCCTCTACCCAGAAGGGAGGAAAGATTAGGGACAGTTGCTGAAGCGACACCAATACAATCTTCATCTTAAAAAAAACAAAAACGTTAGAAGAAAAACTACCGTACCTTGAGAGAGCGGGTCCTGCCCTGGAGGAAAAGAGAAACCCGTGTGTTGATCTCTGAAGGAGCAATCTAGCACACACAGCAGTGGCCATGTTCAACCGGCGACACAGAAGGGGGACGGAGTTCTGTGTAACACCAGCCGTCTGTTTCCGGTGTTGTGTAAAGCTCAATCGAACCAGAGCCATATAATAGAATCTATTCTAGATATATCTAGATATATGGCGCTGAATCGAACCATTTTTATTTGACTTGTATTAATGTACTTTCAGTTTGAGAACACTTAAAAACTGGGAAGTTAAAGTTAAAGATGTATTCATTGCTATCGGGATGTTAAGAGCATTCCATGGAATATAACAAAAAGTGTTTCTGAAGTGAATTACCTACCCTACCTTTAATATGTATTAAGTCAGGAACAGGAAATTGTATAATAGTCTCCTGTTATTATTGAATTATTATTTAAACATTTAGAAAGTGTTATCACTGCCAGTATAATAAGACTATTTTATGAAATGTAATGGTGATGCGGCTATACAGGGATCAGTTCGAGGATCCTGCTCTGTCTTCAATTAAGATGCCTGTGTGGAGCATCAGCGCCCCCTGCGGTGATCACCGATCACTGCACTCAGGTCAGATGATCCGGGCTGCTACATTGTAAATAGACAGCGGCGATCCACCGGGGCCATGCCTTCATAGTCTCTTTAAATCTCCTCCAACAGAGCAGATTTGTCCTCTCGGAGACTACTTATCTTCCGACACCGGTTCTTTCGATATTTCTGGTCATTTCGGCTTGTTAAAGTGTTTTTATTAAAGTATGTACCGGTCTCTGTACGCCTTCCGATCCGCGGAGCCCAACTCGCTGCACTTCGCGGCCGGAGAAAGCTTCCTAATCCTGGAGAGGAGCAACAAACACTGGTGGCTGGGGTCCCGCTGCAGCTCGGGGGAAACCGGCTACATCCCCTCGTCATACATTGAAAAAATACAGGTAAACAACACCAATATCCTGTGCGAGGACCATGTCGCATCCTGGGGTGAAAGTGAAATCTGGTGAATGCGTAGTAACGTTCAGGGTTGAATTGATGGGATCGAGAGAGACAGATCACTCGTAACTGTACTATATGTCCTAAAGTGCAGGCCACACTGAAGCTGACTGCAGATTATAGTGAGGACGGAAATGCACGCTTGCTGTAGGAACCATAAATTATTGGAAAGGTTGCATTATGTAGGGGCATGGCCCTTCTGCACTGCAGCTGCTCACTGCGACAGAGGGGAGATATAGGAGAGGAGTAATAGGGAGGAAGGAGGGATGGATTATGTCAGGATAGGATGATTTAGAATATCCTATGAGACAGGAAATAATCAAGGACCATACAGCAGCAAGACAGAAACCCTCTGTGTGCTCAAACTCCTGTGACTTTGTCTCTATTTTATTATCAATGATCATTCTCACTGTTCTTTTTATTGTTTAACAAGTAGCTACTACTCTCCCCACAGCTTTTCTGTTGGACACACCCACATGCATTATACAGTCAGAGGACTCTTTTCTCCAAGGATAACTAGTCAGAGCATGTACTTTGTGAGATCACAGGCTCACACAGTGGCAGGATAGGAATGCTCTCTCGTCCCTGTCATTGGCTGTTGAGGTTTAATGAGCTGAATGTGAGGCCTCAATGGGCATGTGTACCACTGCTTAAATAGGCTTTTTTTAATTCGTTAGATAACCGCCCTAGTTTGTTTCTGCCTGGAGTCACTCACAAGTCCCCGGGCCACAAGTCTGTTCTGTTTTGTTTAAAGTTGAATAATTATGTTAATGAATAATGTATAATGAACCCTGTATGCAAGGGCTGGTTTGCCTTCACTAACTGTACGGAGGCTCAGTCACTGGTACATTTTTATATATAAAGCCATGTTAGGGAAACTTCCATCCTACATCTGCTCCCTGATCTCACGGCGAATTGTAAGTGGCTACTGCCTGAGATCGCTTGCTGTGGTTTTATTAAATGTGCCAACTGCTAGGACTGTCTTAGGGAAGATAGCTTTTAGATGCGCAGCTCCTCTGTCTTGGAACAGTCTGCAAATGAAATGGAAACTGAGCAATCTGGTGCCACTAAATGTTTTTAAAGCTCGGTTGGATGCTACACAGTCAATCGGATGCTGTTGGTACCTGTTAATGTCGTGGATAGTTATGTAAATTGTAATCCCTGTAATGATGCTGTAAGATGTCCTTTTGTTGTTCTGTTTATGTTTTTTTATGTTTCATGTGGAACCTACTTGAGCAGGTCTCCCTTGAAAAAGAGATCAATGATCTCAATGGGATACATCTGGATAAATAAAGGTTTGAAATGAAATGAAAATAATGAATGTGTCCCCTATTTCTCTCTTTTCTTTCTGGAGGCCCCAGAGCAGGATGAAGTGTTGCAGTCTATTGACAGAGCGATCGAAGGAATCCACAATGTGGCCTTAAAGAATGGAGGCAAATACAACCTGGAGCAGAGAGATGTTCTTCAGTAAGAATAACATTATCATTTATAATTATGTTCTTCTTCTTCTTCTTCTTCTTCTTCTTCTTGTTCTTATTCCTCTTATAGTTTCTGGCCCTTTCTATGCTCTATATATAAATCATATATATTAATTTCTGTTGCAGAAAGTTGATCCATCACAGAAAGGAGACGCTTGCACGACGGAGTTCTTCGTCCTCCGTTCACAAACAAGGCCTCCCATCTTCCAGCAGTGAAATATCTCTCAGTAAAACTCCTCCTCCCAACGGTCTTAACCGAGACGGACGGCAGAGCAGCATGCCGATATCAGGAAGCGTAGACAATATACAGTCAGAACAGGGGTTTTATCAGGTGAGAAATTATACAAAGTACACATTTAAATGTTTTATTTGAAACCACCTGCCATGGTCAAATATACACGAGTAAAACATTTAGACATTGTTAAATATTCTGTCTTTTGTTTTTACTTTTCTGTCTACCTGTAAAGCACTTTTTTGTAATGTATGTAATTATATATTTTACTTATGTTCGGCATCTAACACAATTGTATAGGAGGAGTTACAAGTGTTGTATGCATACATTGTCCATGTATTCCCAACATCACAAACTAAAGCCTGTAACATAGTGAACCAAATTGTGTGACACAAACAGATCCAATTTCTAATGAACATTTGCTGTGAGCTTCTTCATTTTGTAAAATCATTGCCATGTCCATCCATGCTTCCACGTTTTGGATTCCTGCAATAACCATTCTGTAAGGCATGGTACATCTCTTTCGATAGATATTCGGATTTGTGCTTCATCTGTTCTCAATGTGCAGATCAAAAACACATCCCATCTTTAGGATTATAACTTCAGTTTTTTCTTCTTTGATAAAAGCAATATCAGTAGTTCAGCTCCAACAATTATGTGACGAATTAATTGATCAATTAAAAAAATATTTTTTAACAGAAATTATTTCTTTTAATGCTATAAAGTCAGAAAATGCTGTTTTCAGCCTCGCTAATGTGGAGATTTCATCCTTTTTTTTATCGTATCACAAATATCAAACATACTGAATATTTATAGATCAAACAATGAATGAAGAGGCACATTCATTGAAAATGAGAACAACGGTTAGTTGCGGCCTTGTTGACATTACCAGGGAATGCATCTCTGACAGCAGAGACGAGTGAATAAGCTCATGTTGTGGAGTGTAGAACATCACGCACACAACATTTGCCCTCAGATGACCTGGTTTGTATTCTCCTCCTGCAGGTGCCTCCTCAAGCTCGGCGTGCGGCACCAACCACCCCCCCTCCCCCGGAGAAACAGAGGAACAGCCGGCGTCCAGGTGAGATCTCTCAGCCTCACTTTAAAGCTTATGACTGTCTCACAGATCCCAGCGCAGCCTTGTTGTTTTCATCTGATGCTACCTGCTGCAGCTCCATTACTTCACAAACACTCTATTCTTAGTCAGGTCACTTCTGATCACCCTCCTCTCTGTAACTGGAGCTCTCTCTCTCTCCCTCAGCAGATCCAGAGGTCCCCTCCAGAGGGTCGTCTCTCCCTCCGTCCCCTGCTCCCTCCCTCACGATCAGCACCACCTCTTTAGAGTCAGGCTCCTCCCACTCAATGGTCTCCTCTGATGTCAGCTTGCCAAGTGTATCCAGCACCCCCCCTCCTCCGGTGCCGTCCCGTGTGAAGCCCGTTGCTCCTCCCGCAGACGAGCCTTCCTCCGACTCCCCCCCTCAGCCGGCTCCACAGAAGAAGAGCCCGGCTCCACAGCCTCCCCAGCTCACCCCCACTCCCTCGCAGCCCGCTGTAGAGGAGCAGCGTGAGAACGAATGGCCTGTGGCCCCCCCGTCCATCGCTGAGAGCCCTGCCAGCAGTCCCTCTCCCTCTGAGCCGGTTCCCAGGACCATCGGGGCCGAGCTGATCGAGCTGGTGCGGAAGAACACGGGCCTGAGTTACGAGCTGTCGCGGGTGGCGGTGGGCGTGGTGGTGGGCCACCTGCAGACCACCTTACCCCAGGCCGCCGCCGACCTGGAGCAGGTTCTGCTCTCGCTGGTGGACAGCAAGGTCAGATTTGTTTTCATTTCATCGTGTGGATTCAGCGCTCCCAGGAGAATACCGATGTCTTGTAGAGTTACAGTTCAGTCTGCATTTAGCTGACACCTCAGAGTTGTTTAGAGATGCGGGGGACAATACACACAGGATCACTCTCTCATTTCCTGTTTCTAAACGCAAGCTTGAAATGAACTGCTGATTCTTTCCTGGCACACATTTCTGTTTCTTCCTGTGGGTGAAAGGTGGTTAGTAGTGGGCAGTGGGTCATGTAACCTAGAATAGCTATGATGAAAGCTTTTGGCTGCATCCTTTATTTACATGGCCACACGTGGGTACACTTGACCCTGCTCATCCAATTATAAAGTCTTAAACACTCTGAGGTCTCTGCAGCGGTTTTTAATTAAGGAACATTCAATTAGGGCTTCACAAAACACTTATAATACAGATCAAATTGAAACAATACCAAATAGAGCAGAGAAGCATACAATGTCATTAACTTACACTTGTAAAAACACCAGTGTTACCCTTTAAAGTCGGTATCTGTAATATGCTTTTCAACCTACAGAAAATGATCCGCCAGCCATATCGTTTTCTATATCAGAGAGATAAATGACACTGTGTACTGGTATTTCAAGTTGGAACACTAACAGGTGTGTCATGGTGTTTTCTGTGGCTGCAGGTTTCGAGTACAGCGCTGCCGCAGGGTCAGGTGTGTCACGACGAGCAGAGGCTGGAGGTGATCTTCAGCGACCTCGCCCGTCACCAGGGCGACTCTCAGCAGCGCAGCTGGGCGCTCCACGAGGACCACGCTCTCATCGCCTGCTACCTGGAGGAGCTGCTCAAGATCCTGGTAAACTCTTACTGCTACGTCTGCAGGGCTCTGTTTCTGAAGTGTAGGGAGGTGGGATGAATTTCACAGAAGTGTATATCAGTATGTCAGTGTTTGATTATAAAAGCACTTTTCAAAATGAAAGGTGCACAGTCAAAGCTTTAAATAACATGTAGTACAGTAACACAAGAACACGTAGAAGACAAGTCATTTAACATTACCTGCTTTCACCTTATTTCTCCACATGTATGTGTCTAACTTACTAATGATTTCTTTAAATTGGTCCAGTATTAAGTGTGGATCTCCCATGGGAGCATAGGACTCCCCAGCTGTCATGCTGTAAATACCAGACATGTTTGATGGGATCAGACCGGCTCAGACTTTACAAATCCAGCAGTGTGTTAAAGACTGAGGCTGTAAACTCCTCTGGCGGCCAAATATTCTCTATTGGCCCCAACCTCAGGGATTTCCAGATGAGTTGTAAAAGGGCTCCATAATCCACAACTGTCAAACAGATTAGGAAGTTAAGAGATTATTATATCATTGCCGTTACAACTCAAATCTGTTTCATTTCAGACTGATGCAGATCCAGAGGTGTGTAAGAGGATGTGCAAGGCCAACCACTACGAGAATCAGCTGTCCCTGGTTTCTTATTATCAGATGGTAAGGCATATAATAAAAGAAACAATTTACAAATCTCTTAATTCAAACTTGAAGACTGGGTGCTAGATACTTATGTAGGAGAGCTCTCCAGTTAGACCTTTTAAATATTGCCAGAATGAAGGATGTCCTGCCAAAACATCTGTGTGAGGATTTTCAAATGTCAAACTGGACTGCTGTTTGAGTCTTCTTTTTTAAGACTTTATTATAATGAAGCAACATTAATTAATCTGTATTAGAGACAAATTAGTTAATAAGGATTAGGGGATATATTCCTGTCAAAATAAAAAAGAAAGTCCTTTTCTTTTATGGTTCTTCTTTATTATTATTATCATATATATTCAGTTCTTATAAGAATATATCAAAGTGTTACTTCTTACCCAAAGATGTCCATGAAGATATTTATTGTTGATTACATGCTAAATACAAATGTTCTGTTCCAAGAGCAAACTAGATGTTTTCCCTCGTTGACCTGAACTAGGCTTGGTGCTGATAAGTGAATAATTAAATGTTGTCCTTTCATTTTTGCCGTCATGTGCAGGAGAATCGAGTGTCTCTGCGGCTGCTGCTGCTCAAAGTGTTCGGGGCGATGTGCAGCCTCGATGCTTCGCTCATCTCCACCCTCCTCAACTCTATCCTCCCCATGGAGCTGGCCAGGGACCTACAGACTGACACACAAGGTGAACACATTAACTCTCTCCTGTTCATCTGTAGTATTACCCTTCTTTATATTGACCACCATTTCTCTTTCCTGGTCTGTGTTTCTGTCCTCAGAGCACCAGAAGATCTGTTACACAGCTTTGGTGCTCACTATGATCTTCTCAATGGGCGAACAGGTGCCGTATCTTCACTACGGTATGTTGTTTATTCACAGTTCTCCTCTGCATATTAGCTTATACGCAGACATAAAACAATATATATACATATGCTGATTTTCCTGGTCTTTAAGTTTTACATGCATGCATTATAAGGTGTATTACAGGGATAATGTGTTAAATGTTATTTTATTCTTAAGACGTAATCCTGACCCTCCCTGCTTTCAGAACACTTGAATGCAGACTTTGTTCAGTTTCTGCTGGGTGTGGTGGAGGACGGGCTTCCCTCTGATCCCACAGAGCAGCTGCCGGACATCTTCCTGAACCTCGTGCTCTCCTTCAACCTGCACCACACGGGTGAGAACAGCAGCAAATACATAGCAAAAAAGCCATCATTAATGTGATGTGTAATACCTATGCTTTTCCTGCCACAATAAATCAAAATGCCTGCCAAAAAAATTGCTGCAATGCACAATTGTGGAAGTGTATTAGGGCCAGACATATGAAAGGAGAAGGAAGGAAGATGTTTTGTCATTGGCAAGAATAGATCCATCAACTATTATTCCCAACATTTCAAATAAATCCTGCAATGCAAAATTACAAATGTATCCTACTCTTATTTGTTTCTCCTTATGCCTGGACCTAATACTCTTCCCTACACTAACAGGTTCTACGTTTGTATTTCTCAGCTGACGTGCAGAGCTTTTATTCTTTGAGTATTCTCTCTGTGTTGTCTGTGTCACCCAGAACCCGACAGCAATGTGATCATGCAGGAGCTGAAGAAGAAAAACGTCAAGATCCTGTCAGAGAAAGTGCTGCTGCTTCTGAACAGAGGCGGTAAGATAATACACTGTTGTGATATTTCTCACTCTGCATCAATGCCTTTGTCTACTGACGTCATCGTGACTGACTCTTTGACACCTCCCCTCCAGACGACCCTGTGTGTATGTTCAAACACACCCCGCCTGCACCGCACTCAGTGCTCAAGTTCCTGCAGGACGCTTTCTCCAACCGAGAGACCGCTGACATTTTCTACCGCACTGACATGATGGTGATGATTGATATTGCTGTCAGGCAGATATCGGACCTTTCGCCTGGAGACAAGGTGAGACCTGGACAGGCTACTGATTGATCTTATGCTTTAAAGTAGTAGTTTCTCACTTGGGGAAGAACTCCTTTTTGTTTTCTTGTTTTCTTGAGAAGATTGATACAATTCGTAGTACCGTAAATACAGCTGGTTAGCTTAGCACAAAGACGAGGAAACGGCTAACCTTGTTTTTCAAAAGATAACAAAATCTTTCAAATTTCTAAAGCTTACTAACAGACCAGTTATAACTTGTTTGTTTTTTTATCAGTATTATATAAAGTGTTGAATCCAGAATTTGTGTTTTTTGCCATAATATTTTGACGCCAGTAGCAGAAACTTCCCCGAGATTGCAGCTTCTTATTTATTTGTTAGATATGACAGGTCTCAAAAACCAATCTCTTCATCTAACTTTGGACAAGAAAGCAAATAACTGTTTTTCCTAAAAAAGATGAATTGTTTGTAACTATGTCTGATTATTCTCTCTTTCGCTCTCCCATGAAGCTGAGGATGGAGTATCTCTCCCTCATGCACTCCATCATACGCTCGACGGACTACCTGGAGCACCAGCACCGCCTGCCTGACCTGCAGGGGGTGCTGCAGAGGATTCTCAGGGAGGAGGAAGATCCAGGAGAGGATGAAGGGAGCGCTACTGCGAAACAGATGGATAAGCTAATTGTACAGCAGATCTACAAAGAGTTCCCTCAGATCAGTGAGAACCAAAACTAACCGTATCAGTATCATGCTCACACACTGTAGTCCGCTCCCGTCTACTGCAGGGAGGAACACATGGAGGAAGAACACTTGACATTCAATGCGACGCCCTGCTTTCTGTGCCAGCCTGTGATAGGAGAAACCAATCGGTTTTGCCAATGTTTTCTTGGACTTGTGGTCCACGGCTGCAGCATGCATGTGATTTTTTTTCACAGCTTCTTCCATTCTCAGATGAATTATGTTTGTGTGGGAGTGGGAGTGGGAGGTTTCTTTCTCTGGTGTTCTTGAACAAGAAGGGAAAATATGACACAAAAACCTGTGAGGTTTAGTCATACTTGAGGATTCATATCTAAAACGTAAGCCAAACATTGGAGCTGTTTCTCAGTGAATTCCTTGCAATAATGACCTTTAAAATCACACAACAATTCTCTGTATACTCAGAGTATGTATAATAAAAATGTGGGGTATGTATAATGAAAATGTGCTGCAACCACAACTTAACATTATATAACTAAAATATATTTTACCAAATTAGGCCAAATTCAAAGATTTTGACTGAAAAAGGCAGATTTGAGGTTATGTTACAGAACAATGTGCCATTATTCAATCTATTGTGAAAATACTTAATGTGCTTCCGTTGTAGCGGGACCAAACTACTGTGTGTTACATCATTGTTTTCTTAAAAGAGTATTCAACTCTTAAAACTGACTTCCTCTTCACTCAGTATAATAAGAATCAAATTCAAGTACAACGAGTTGATCATGTTTTCTGTTCTAGTGCGGGAGAGCACACTGACTCCTCTGTTATCATTAGCTGAGTCACCCGCGGCTACATATCAAGTCCCTCCTGTGGCTCCTGCAGATCTCTCTGTCCGGTACTTTTGTCTCTTTACTGCTTCTCAAACACTTTAAGATAACCGCTCTGTACTTATTATGCAAAGCTCCTCTAGCGTCAGAAGTCTTGGCTGTTTACAGATTAGTGTCTGTATGCTGCATTCACACTAAAACTAAAACTAACTGTGCTGCAATAAGTCTCTATATAGCCACTTTCAATATTGCTGTAATATGCTGAGTCTTCTGGAGGGGAAATGTGTTCTGCAGTCATTACTCAAGATAATACATTCGTCAGCGTTGTTGATTTCAGTTAATTATCTGATGCTCTCTTACTGAAAATCAAGACAATGGAGAGAAAAAATAAAGTATTTAATTTAATTTTAGTTGTAATACTTTAACAGCAACATGTACCTTTCCTTGTTTCTCCCTCATGATGTAGTGCTCGATGTTTTCCCATCCTACTCATCTCTGTTTTGATCCCTGGCATGGCGACACGTCTGGAGATGGTAGATGAAATCCAGAAGTGATATCAGTTTTTAGTTAATGACACAGTATTTGTTCATTAATTAGATGTGAGTCTGTTTACAGTGTGTGTAAGAAAGGTGAGCGTCTATTCTTTTTATGATTAACATTGTCTGCAAAAGAGTTACGACTGTGTTATAATAAAACTAATAAAGCTATATTTTAACAGTGCACGTGGTCGGATTGGTTGTTGTTGATTTGAAGACAGTAAATTATAAAACATAATTAAATATTATTTCAGAGTTTTTTAGACATGCTGTTGGTCACACTGTCTCACATGTAACCAGTATAAGAGATACACAGATGTTTTACAGCTGCAGCTTCTAGCAAGTCTAGAGTTTGATTTCAAAGGAAATGGTTACATTTTGCTCATGATCATGTTTGTTAACCCCAGTTTACCCAGTTTAGACCTTCTGTTTTTCCTTTCCTGTGGACATGTTTGCATGTTGTTCTTGCAAACCATACTTATGTACAGTATATACATGAATTTGTTTTATTAATGAAATATTGGGTATACACTTTTAAGGAAAATATATGATATGGCAATATTGAAGATTATACATCACAAAAAGAAAGAAAAACAAATTCAAGATACATTAAACTAAAGTTAAACATGACACTGCATGACAGCTTCATAAATAACAAAAGTTACATTTTGTTGTTTGGATATACAGTATAGTGTTGGATAAATATATATAGTTAATTGAGTCATACAGTATATTTTATTTTAACCTCCGTGATATATTATTAATAGTATTGTAGGTGTACATTATGAAACAATCGCATACCTTATTTTTCCTCTTCTTCTTTTATATATATACCAATGGTTGTACAATGGATTAAGTAATACAGTAATATTACCATAGTTATTATATGGATTCTTTTTGAAGAAGTAAGTATTTGACAAGTTTTTAGTCAAGCATTTAAACCTCCTTTCATTTATTTCAAATATTCACTTGCTCAGAGGTTTTTTGACATTTGCATGACTAAATACTTTTTTGCCTGCCATTGTTGCTTTTATTAGTACTTCTTAAAATGTTCTTCGTTCATGTTTGGCCAAACTATTTTAATGTGGAAAAAGTTAATATCTCACTTAAAATATCTAAAATGTGATGCTCGGTCTGTGTAAGTATTACTGTCTTCTTGGTTGGTGGATAGATAGGGATGGGGGGCCAGGGGTAAATTGTTATGATGTAATAAATATAATAAAAAGTGTGATCATTTTAATTTTGTGATAATATCAATTCAATGTTGTCCAAAATCACCAATACACGTATACATATTACAATTTTTTTTTAAATATATTTATTTTCTTTAATTTATTTTGTTGCTCATCTTTTACTTGTCACTTATTTCTTTAAACTTTTTAAACCTCAGAAGAAAGTTTCCACCCGGATGTTTCGCAGGGACGTACCAGAGTGCAGCGGTGTCGCACTCAGAGCGGTCCGGGTGAGAAAGTGGGTGAAAGGTGCAGCGGCAGGAGTGACAGCAGCTCACCAACACACCTCACCGAGACACAAACACACAGGTAAGATATCATTCCTACTATTTTAAAACTAATTTCTCGGCGAGTTTGTATTTATTTCCGGTGTCGCTTCCATTCATGTTGTTGTGTTTTTCAGTCAACATGTCCAAACAGAAGCAGCAGGCGATCAGTCCTCTGAAGAACTTCTTCGCTGGAGGCTTTGGAGGAATCTGCCTCGTTGCAGCCGGACACCCTCTCGATACCATTAAGGTGATTAAAGCCCCTCACTAATACACTTGCTTTACATTAGGATAAACCTCCAGAGGGCACCAGGTGGATGTATCGCACTCATGCAAATAGTATTATTATTATATGTTGCTGCGCAGAGCTGAGCACCTTTGACCCACATTCACTGTAACATGACTCGGCTTAAGTACCTCACCTGAATGCAGGACGTTATATATACAGTCTATGAGTCAGGTATGTTGAAGTCTGTTGTCATTCAATTAGATTTAAAGTAATTGGTTCAATACTCTTAATAGGTCCATACCTATCCAACAGCCAGTTGGCCAATATTACCTAAATGACACCGGCCACTTCCTCAGGTACAGCTTGCTGGTACCTGGTAGGACCTTTGACCTTTTAGACCTGGATCAATCCTCTTCATTTGCTCAACAAGGTGCAGGAAACCAAGGGCTAAGAGTTGGGCAATATGAAAAAGAATCATATATCAAACTAGGCCAGGCCCTCCCATTTGACATTCCTGCCCTCCCCCAATAAACACGTTTTTGTATCATTCTTTTTAAAATGATAAATAAACTGTGAACTTTAATGCTACGATGTATGATGTCAAATAGTAATATAAGAGTAATGAATGAAAAACAGTTATGAAATACCATATGACAAAATCGAAGGATCCAATGTGTTTTTAAACGGAGCAGAAATAGAACTAGTCCCCCACTTCAAGTATCTTGGAGTCATATTGGACTCGAACTTGACTTTTAAGAAACATATTAAGAAAGTATCCAACACTATTAAATTCAACTTGCCAACATTATTACAAACAATTAGACCTTTCCTTAACTGTCCAATGCTGCAAAGTTATACCTCCACTGTATGATCTCTATCCCACATTGAATACTGTTTTCACAAACTGGTGGTTTGGTTGTGCCCAACCCTGAAACCCAATACGAACAGCTGTACAACGGAGCTCACTCAGCGTGTTTGACACGAAAAGCTTTATTCATACCACCGCGCGGCGACCTCGGCGCTAGCCATCCTGGAAAAACACACAATTTCCTGAGTTTTTGCACGCAATGTTCGCTTAAGTCTTTTAAAAGTATTGCTTTTTTATAAATGTTTACATGGACTGCCCCACGCCTCCCTAAGGGGAGTTCATCCACAAAAAGCAAACTAGACGCTGCACTAGGTCAGAAACCAGAGGAGACTGTGAGGTCCACCGCAGACGGACCACTTTTGGACAAAATGTCCTTTTCCGTTAAAGGCAGCTCATTGTGGAATAGCCTCCCAACTGAGATACGGGATTGTCCCACTCTCAATAGCTTCAAAGGTCAACTCAAAGAATGGTTGAGAAACAACCAGACGTGCAGTCACCGCTAAATGCACTTTAACACAGGGGTATCTCCTCTTGCACTTTATGCATCTCTTGTATCATCTCTTGCACTTTATATGTCGTAGCTGCTATAGTGTACTGCCATGTGGTAAATACTTGTGTGTGCTGCTCTTGCTCTTTTGCATCTCATGTATTTATTTTTTGCTATGTTTACAAATGTCATGTTCTTATATGTTGTATGTCAGGGACTACGGATGGAAATGAGCTCAAAGCTAAAATCCGAGAATACAGTTTAAAAGGGGAGTGATTTGTAAAATATCCATAAAGAACAAGAAAATCTGTTTCCAGTTCTGTTTCATATGGGTGTTGAGAGATGTATCCATAGATCTCTTAATTTTGCTCTCAAGGCGCACCATATTGATGCTTTTAACTTCAATATTTAAAAATAAATCTTACCGGGGGAGCATGCGATGAAAATCTCTGCCGCGGCACATGACGGTTTTGCCCTCCCATGAAAATCATATGCCCTCTCTGTAGATTTGTTCTGGCGCCGGGTCTGCCATTGATGCGTTCACAGATTATTTAAAATGTTGTCAAATAATCATCAGTAATGTTGACATAATAACTAATTTGTTAAAGGCAAATTATTTACCGGCTAGAACAGTCCGTTAAATACAGAACTACATCTCTTTACTGTAATGCAGACTTTATAACCAAGAAAAAGAACACTTATTGTGTTTACCGTGTCTATATGCATTGAGATGCTGCTATTAGGTATTGGCCTTAACAAGCATTTAAAAAGACGTTTCTTGTAGAGAGTATTACCACTTTTTTAAAAAGCTGATAGGAAAAATATTTAACAGGTCTGTACTTACAGCGAGCAACAGTAGGAGTCATTTTTCTTGCCACCAGGCGAATTAACTCAAACATTTTCCTCTAAATCTAAAACAGGCTTGTAGTTGGAGTTCAAACTCAGCCTAAATATCTATAGTTGCGGTCACCACACAAAGATACACACAATGTGAGGTTCAAGCTGCTGCCACTGTGATAAGTCTCTGTGTATGAAGTCGTACAAACGGAGTGCATCCTCTTCCTCCTTCAGGTGCGTTTACAGACACAAGCCAAACCCAAACCTGGAGAGAAGCTCATCTATGCTGGAACCATCGACTGCTTTAAAAAGACCTTAGCCAAAGAGGTGAGGATGCCTGCTGCCTTCACTAATCAAATAAAGAATATCATGCTGAAGGTATTTCCCCCGTCATGCTGTAACCTTGTCATCTTCTTCCATCCCAGGGTTTCAAAGGACTCTATAAAGGCATGGCAGCCCCGATCATCGGGGTCACACCCATGTTTGCTGTCTGTTTCTTTGGATTTGGAATGGGCAAGAAATTCCAACAGAAAACCCCCGATGATATCCTTACGTAGGTGATGGCTCGGATTTAGACTGTGGTACTCTTCATTCAACTGTTTCGAACTCTCTAAGAGTGTTAATATGTACGCTTCCTGTCTTCTGAAGGTATCCTCAGCTGTTTGCTGCAGGGATGTTGTCTGGTGTGTTCACCACGGCCATCATGGCTCCTGGAGAGCGAATCAAATGCCTCCTACAGGTCAGACAGAAATACAGGGCGTGCTTTTCATTTTGCTAACGTGTCTCCTCGCTTCCTTGACTCGTCGTGTCTTAGTTCCTCTCAGCGAAGGTGTGTGAGAGAAACCTGAGAATGAGACGTGATGACTGGAGCTGCTAAATGAGAACTCTTTGATTCATAGCGTCAGTAAAGATACTGCCCTCTGCTCCTAATACAAGGATGTAAATGTGTGTGACTGAGGGTTTGATTTGAATCCTCCTTTTCCATTTCAGAGAGGATGCGAGGAAGAATACGTTAGCATAATGAAAAACACCAAGGATCTAATCACTTAACTTAATAGTAGATTTTTTATTAAAAAAAATGAAATGTCAGCGAGTTTAAAAACATGTTTCTCCCTGGTGTGCAGATCCAGGCAGCGACAGGAGAGGTGAAGTATTCGGGACCCATGGACTGTGTGAAACAGCTCTACAAACAGTCTGGGATCAGAGGGATCTACAGAGGCACCGCTCTGACTCTCATGAGAGGTGAAGCTTTCCTCTGATACTTCCTAGGAGTCATAGTTTGCTGTCAGTTGGACATTAACCACGGCTAGATAAAACAACGAGAACACGTCACTTAAAAATGCCCTGTGGAGTTTTTTGTATAAACATACTGAGATACTGTTTGGATATTTTAAATCCAATGCATTTGCTGGTGTTGAATTAGTCTAACACACAGTCAAACATTTTTATAACAGTGCAATGTTAACTTGCCTGACAATTGAGTTTAATTGTTCCACTTCTCAGTGTCATCCAGCGTTCACTTGTGGCCGCCGTTACTCTTTCTTGAGACATTTTGAATTAGACGTACAGCTTTTGTCGTTGTTGTGATCTGGACTTAAAGAGCGTTGCTATTTTTCTCAGGTGCTTTTGAAGACGTAGCACCTGGCTCGTAGCGTCAGCTTTTTGTCGTGAAATCTAATTACCCTCTTTCGTAACAGTGATTAATCAACGTCAGAGTTCAGGGTCATTTTCAAGACGTCTTGTCTACCCTCCTGTCGGGTGTGTATGTTAATGATAATGTGTTTTTGTATTAATAACAATTCACTTTGATTTCTTATGTACATAATATTCCCGCTAAAGTCACTCTTTTATCTGTTTTGTAGATGTTCCAGCCAGTGGGATGTACTTCACGTCCTACGAGTGGTTGAAGAACGTCCTCACACCGGAGGGAAAAAGGTCAATATTTGTTCTTAAATGCAGTATTAACAACATGGTGTAAAAGACCTCTGAGTATGTAACCCTGTGTGTTCTCCCTGCAGCCACAACGAGCTCAGCATTCCCAGTGTGCTGTTCGCTGGAGGCATGGCCGGCATCTTCAACTGGGCCGTCGCCATCCCAGCTGACGTTCTGAAGTCACGTTACCAAACAGGTGAGGAGAAAACAGCCGCTGCTCTCAGTTGTGATGCAGTCAACTTTATGTAACGCACTGTGCTCCAAGTCAAACAGGTTAACTTTAGAAAAAGGGAAGTCTCTGGGGCAAGGATGTAGTTAAATGTTTAAACGACAGCTAAAGGCACATCTTTTTAGATTAGCTTTTTATTAGCAACCCCCTACTTTAAATGTTCTTTTAGTCTTTATTATTTACCTACCTTTTATATTGTTTTATTTTATTTTATAATCTTTTTATTTCTGTTGTACCTATATGTTCACTTTGTTTTATGGGGTTTTATATTATATTTGATATTGTTGCATTGACTCCGTTGTCTTGTGTCTTATCTGTCAGAGAGAAACCATTATTTATTTTTATTTTTTATTATCATACATTTGACCTCCTTGTGTCTATCTGATCACATGTTACATTTAGCTGCATGTGCCTTTTTAAAGTTCTTAACAAAGAATCTGATGGGAATTTCTTGTTGTTTGTTTTTAACTTTAACTTTAACTTGTGATGTGTCATTTTGTAAAGCACTTTTAGCTGCTAGGTTTGAATGAAAAGTGCTATATAAATAAAGCTTTATTATTATTATTAAATGCCTTTATTATTTAAGGGCCGTTTATTTTTAGATTCCATCATTTGTTGAGGTCAAGGCAAGGCAAGGCAAGTTTATTTATATAGCACTTTTCAACACAAGGCAATTCAAAGTGCTTTACAAAAAATGAAAGACATTAAGAAAATGGCATTTAAAATCAGTCATTAAAAAGAAAAGTTAATAAAATAAACATTAAAAGAAAGAAAAAATTACATGGATAAAAGTTACAGTGCAGTCTAAGATATGAATAGTTCAATTAAAAGCAGCGACAAAAAGAAAAGTCTTTAGTCTGGATTTAAAAGTAGTCAGAGTTGCAGCGGACCGGCAGGTTTCTGGGAGTTTGTTCCAGATATTTGGAGCATAATAACTAATAAGTGCAGTCAAACGAGGGCTGCTTTTACATGTTTACTAGCTGTGTTTCTGTCTTCACTTTTTTCATATTGCTGAAGATGAATTTTTCTTCCACAAAGTTTAAAACATGTGTCTCTCCTTTAGCTCCTGATGGAAAATATCCCAATGGTTTCCGGGACGTTCTGCGGGAGCTGATCAGAGAGGAGGGCGTGGGCTCTCTGTATAAAGGCTTCAACGCAGTCATGCTTAGAGCTTTCCCTGCAAACGCTGTGAGTGCCCTTCAATTATCCTTGGTTTCCGTAACATTGGGAAGGTCTCAGAGGAGCTATACAGTACATTATGACACAAAGCAGGGTTCAGTTTGAGGAGTAAAAGAAAAAATAATAGTCGTCCATTAAGAATAAATCTTGTATTGGCAGCAGGATCTAATGTATAGTAAAAGAAAAGGCAATAGATCAGATGGACTCCTATCACTCAAATCAAAGACAACGTTTTAAGAGTAAGACCAAGAACAAGAAAAAGGAAAGCATGATCCCTCTCCTATCTGACATGTTTCAGACCAAATCAAATGACTAGAAGATGAATCAATAAGGAAAAGCTGTAATTTGAACCGCCTCATAAAGCTAAAAGTTACAGGTCAAGTTAAGGCGTAAAGTTTCTACATGATATGGATTCATCAACAAAAACTATTAAGGATGTGAGCTGAAATTAAGGGCACAATGTTCTAGATTTACTGTAGCTTTGCAGTGAAAAAGACCTCATGAAAGACGACACAGGAAGTGAGGATATCCGGCCCGGAGGAAGCCCGGGGTCCACTTCTGGAGCCAGGCCCAGAAGGAGGACTCGTCGGCGAGCGTCTGGTGGCCGGGCTTGCCACGGAGCCCGGCCGGGCAACGTGGGCAACACCTCCGCTTCTCCGTCCCGCGGGCCCACCACCTACGGGAAACAGCGATGGGGTCGGGTGCGCTGCCAGAAGGGTGGCAGTGAAAGCAGAGGGTCTCGACGGACCAGACCCGGGCGACAGAAGCTGGCTTTGGGGACGTGGAACGTCACCTCTCTGAGGGGGAAGGAGCCGGAGCTTGTGCGGGAGGTGGAGCGTTACCAGTTGGATCTGGTTGGTGCTCACCTCTACTCACAGCGTCGGCTCTGGAACCTTACTTCTGGATAGGGGTTGGACTCTATTCTTCTCCGGAGTTGCTCAAGGTGTGAGGCGCCGGGTTGGGTGCTTCGTTGTTGGAGTTTACCCCAGTGGACGAGAGGGTCGCCTCCCTACGCCTGCGGGTTATGGGGGGGGAAACCCTGACTTTTGTGTGTGCTTATGCACCCAACAGCATTTCAGAGTTTACGGCCTTCTTGGAGACCCTGGAAAGACTCCTATATGGGGCTCCTGAAGGGGACTCTTTAATCTTGCTGGGAGACTTCAATGCACATGTAGGCAATGATAGGACACTTGGAGGGGCGTGATTGGGAGGAACGGCCCCCCTGATCTGAACCGGAGTGGTGGTTTGTTACTGGATTTCTGTGCTAGTCATGGATTGGCCATAACAAACACCGTGTTTGAACATAAGGATGCTCATAAGTGTACGTGGTACCAGAGCACACTAGGTAGAAGGTCCATGATCGATTTCGTTATCGTATCATCGGACCTGAGGCCGTATGTTTTGGACACTCGGGTAAAGAGAGGGGCGGAGTTGTCAACTGATCACCATCTGGTGGTGAGTTGGGTCGTGTGGCGTGGGAAGCCTCTGGATAGACCTGGTAAGCCCAAACGTGTAGTTCGGGTGAACTGGGAATGTCTGGAGGAGGCTGAGACTGCCAAGGCACACGAGGGGATAGGGGAAGTCCTACCAATAGGCCCCTGAGGCTCCGTCAACGTTCCATTGGGCTGGTCCGGCTTCCCGTCGTCGTTAGACGACCCCGGCTCCGTTTCGTCGCCCACACCCTCTTCAGCCTCTTCTGTACCTTTTCGCTGGAAAGCCGTGTCTCGCCCGTGGTTTTCAAACAAGACCTTTGACAGGCTGTGGAGTCCTCCCCCTTCAGTCCCCTTGGTAGGTTGCGACACATGTCGTTCACTACCCTGCAATCAACTGGAGTTGACTACCTCACACTCCGCGTGGTGCGCCACGACCTCCTTGGTGACAACTTCCAAGGACTTGGCGGCCCCGAAACGGTGACACCTTGCAAAAACTGCTGGAGGCACTGGAGGGGGCCCTCTAATACAACTAGGGGGCATGTATGAGGTCGAGACGGAGATTGTAATCCTCCCGCCTCAACAGCCCCAAGTCTCGAAGGAGTTCACAAGGAAGGTTGCGGGATTGGTGAGCGTAGTCAACTCCAGTTGTTGCAGGGTAGGAACGACATGGTGTCGCCTACCGACAAGGGACGAAGGGGGATGACTCCACAGCCTGTCGAAAAGGTTCTTGGAAACCACGGCGGCTTTCAGGAAAAGGTACAGAAGAGGTTGAGAGGTGGGGGCGACGAAACGAGACGGTGTCGTCTCCGACGACGGGAAGCCCGGCAGCCATGGAACGTGACGGAGCCCTCAGGGCGCCCTATTGTTTAGGGACGTTCCGGAGGAAAAGTCAGTCTGCCGAAGACTGGTGGCCACAGGTGGTCCTCCGAAGTTCGCCAATGGCGGAAACGTCCGTGGACTCTGGCAACTCTGGTGTCGAGGGCGGCCTCCGAAGGCCGTATCTCGAAACTTATGGCGGGTGAGACCAAGTACAGGGGTTGAGGGTGTGCTTACGCGGCTGTTTTCTTTCGAGGCGCTCCAANGGCTGGGATGAGGATCAGCACCTCCACATCTGAGGCCATAGTTCTCAGCAGGAAACCGATGGACTGTCCACTCCAAGTAGGGAATGAGTCCTTACCCCAAGTGAAGGAGTTCAAGTATCTCGGGGTCTTGTTCTCGAGTGAGGGAACAATGGAGCGTGAGATGGGCCGGAGAATCGGAGCAAAAGGAACAGTACTACAGTCGCGTACCGCACCGTTGTGACGAAAAGAGAGCTGAGCCAGAAGGCAAAGCTCTCTGTCTACCGGGCCATTTTCGTTCCTACCCTCACCTATGGTCATGAAGGATGGGTCATGACCGAAAGAACGAGATCGCGGGTACAAGCGGCCGAGATGGGTTTTCTCCGCAGGGTGGCTGGCGTCTCCCTTAGGGACAAGGTGAGAAGTTCGGTCATCCGGGAGGGACTCGGAGTTGAACCGCTCCTCCTTCGCGTCGAAAGGAGCCAGTTGAGGTGGTTCGGGCACCTAGTTAGGATGCCACCTGGGCGCCTCCCTAGGGAGGTGTTCCAGGCACGTCCAGCTGGGAAGAGACCAAGGGGTAGACCTAGGACCAGGTGGAGGGATTATATCTCTTCGCTGGCCTGGGAGCGCCTTGGGATCCCCCAGTCAGAGCTGGTTGATGTGGCCAGGGAAAATAAAGTTTGGGGCTCTCTGCTGGAACTGCTACCCCCGCGACCCGACCATGGATAAGCGGGAGAAGATGGATGGATGGATGGATGGATGGATAACTAAGGGCTATGGTAAACATCTGTTGTGTATTACATCACTATGATAAACAAACTAAAATGTGTGTGTCTTTGTGTATTTTTTTCAGGCTTGTTTCTTAGGGTTTGAGATGGCGATGAAGTTCTTTAACTGGTTAGCACCGGATCTGTGATGAAGACTCGGCATCGCCTTCGTTTATGAAACCGAAGAAGAGTGCTCGTAACACAACGTAGTTATTAGCAGCACACACACACACACACACCCCCACTCAATGAATGAGTGCTTTTTATCTTTGAAACCTCAAGCTATGCAGGGCACTTGGATCATTCAGACCTGCGGTGGATTCAGAGCAGAGATGTTGGCTCTGTACCAATATGCACACACACAGATACACACACACACACAGACAGCCGATTGTTCTTACTCCTTTTTGCTTTACTTGTTTTCTTTAAATGGTGTTATTTTTCATATCAGAAAAGGAGTGAAGTGAACATGTCGTGCCTTACCTTTCCATTATCTGCGAGCAGGTGTGAATATCAGGGAAAAGGTGCTCTGCGTTGTTCTGTGTGTGTTCAGTCTCTCAGCAATACAACACTTCCTGTGAGCTCCGCCTCCACTCAGCAACACCGACGCTAGCTACACTTTCTGTTTGTTTTAATGTGAAATATCAGAGTAATCATACTGAGATTGATTGAACAGTTTATGAATGTCATCATGTAAAAATATTAAAGCAGAATCCATATTTAGAAAACAGCCTGTGTTTGCATTTTTTCTGAATTCTCTTTTTAAATTGGATTTATTGTGTTAAAAAGTGAAAGCCTTGACTGTCCGGGCTTATTAGAACAATAATAATGAACCGAGCGATGATAGCCTAAATAAAAGACATTAAATACGTTTAAAAAAGGTATATTAAATTATTAAAATATACAGTATAAGTATAGCAAGATCTAATAAAATATGATAATTACAAGTATTTGCTTTTTCTATATGCAGAAATTAATGTTCCAATTGTGATCTTTTGAAACCACTTCAACTTTATATAAACGTCTCTATGCCATGTTGTCTGTTCCAGCCTGGCTTCCAGCGTAAACGGTTAAAATGGCCTCTCCCTCTCTGTTGTTTCTTTGCAAAATCATCACATTGTGGGTGCTAATCCATCGGACAGCCTGTAATTACATCTGATGTCCTGGTCAATACTTTCCGACAGGCCGTGCTAAATAAAGAAATCAATAAGCTGCTGAAATGTTAGAGAGTGGGCTGAAAGGAGGAGGAGGGTCAGTCTGCCCCTGCATGATGCTCCAATATGTCTCTCAAATCTCTGGGACAAGCTGATGCTTAGATTACATTTTTCTAATCCGAGAATTTGATATTTTGGGGTTGATTGTGAACTATCAGAGTTTAGCGGGTGACCTTTGACCCTGTGTAATGAGTAACACAGAGATACCGTCTGGCCTGACGGAGCTGCTGCAGGGCTACACCGTGGAGGTGCTTCGACGCAGGCCGGCAAACTTGGTGGAATTTGCCGTGCAGCATTTTACACAAATTCTAGAGGGTCAGAAAAACGACCTAAAAAACAAGAAACGTAGCAACAGATCTTCACTGAAAGGAGTGACCTTTGAAACAAAGTCCAATAAGCCCAAAAAGGAGGATGAAGAGGAGAAAGAGCCTGTAAGTAAGTATTTATTTTCTACTTCATGTTTTTCAAATCGAAAATGTAACTCTAAAAAAATTGAATTTGTAGATGTCTTTAACCTCAACATCTTCATATTGTCAAAATGACACAAAGGACATGGAGAAATTCTCCAGTGTCGGAAATGTGCAATCTTTTTTTTAAAGTTTCATTGATGCAAAGTTTTGACCTACAAGTTCACAGTAAGGCTTACATACATGTGTTAAAAAAAACTGTCTTAAAAAGGTTTGCCCCCCCTACACCGAGCAGATATGATTATGCAAAAATGACAATCATTACCTCAAGTAATCTAAAAATGAGCTCTAATATCCCGTACATGGATATTGTCACAACGGCTAAAAAATGCCAAAACAATTAAAAATGATACGAGATAAAACAAAGAAGATTGCTATATACACATTTCAATTATACAGATATGTTCATGAAGGATAATAGCCTACTACACATGCACTATGTAGGCTACAACAAAATTAAAACGTGCCGACTATAGAGAACACACGTTACACAGTGATAGTGGAGTGACACGGTCAGCGGGGCCATGAATCAAAGAAGACTGCTCAGGGCATTTTCACTCATGTGGTATCGATCCGAACACTCGGGTCACTTCAACTATGACGTTACTCTATTGAAACTATTTAATGACTTTGTATAGATGTCCCATGACTTTTCAATGCTTTTTAAATGTTGTAACATACAAGACTATGTTCTTTTTACAAGATTGTAATGATGTAACGACATACTATACTATTATACTATATTTTAAATAACATTTCAGTGCCTTTTTCATGACATGTGTATCACAATGACATTTGTATTCAATAGTCTATGACATTTTGTAACATTTTGGTCACTCAAATCTAGTGTGATTCATCCGTCTCTGTCTTCCTCTCGGCAGAGTCCACCACCGCTAAATACAACCGCAGAGTTTCAGGTCAGTAACTGTTACAATACTTGTGACGAATATTAAATCAGGTTGCCAGGGTTATGTTTGACAGTGTTTTTGTTTGTTGGTCCTGCTGCAGTCTGTGCAGAAGCGTACAACCCTGACGACGATGAGGACGATGATGCTGAGCCTCGGGTCGTGCATCCCAAAACAGACGAGCAGCGGCACAGACTCCAGGATGCCTGCAAAGACATCTTACTGTTCAAAACCCTGGAGCAGGTACAACACTGTGACGATAGCTGGTTTGTGTTTAGTTTTCTAATTAAATTCAGGTTTTATACACACACACACAGACACACACACACACACACACACACACACACACACACACACACACACACACACACACACACACACCTGATGTTACTGTGTAAGAGCACAAAAAGTGAGGCCCCATTTCATTTTTGAAGCTTCTACTTTATCCGTGTTTTATCACCTGAGTATGTGCACCTCCTCTTCCTCCTCCTCCTCATTAATACATACACATTCCTGGTTGATGTCCCGTAGGGGCAGTTCTCTGAGGTTTTGGACGGCATGTTCGAGGTGTTGGTCAAACCTCAGGATCACATCATAGACCAGGGAGACGATGGAGACAACTTCTATGTCATAGAGAAGTGAGTGACAGATTTCAAAGTGTCTTTACAATGTTAAACTAGGTGGCATTTGGTCAGCTTTATAATGACTTCTACTGACTTCTGTGTGTCTTATCCCCTCCAGGGGTGTGTATGATATTTTCGTGCAGAAGGACGGAGTGAGCATTTGTGTTGGAAAGTATGACAATAAGGGCAGTTTTGGTGAGCTGGCTCTCATGTACAACACGCCGCGAGCTGCCACCATCACTGCAACTCAGGAAGGAGCCCTGTGGGGCCTGGTGAGTCCAAAAACAATTCAAATGTAGCCTACAATCAAAACAAACGCTAAAATGAAACACCACACTATATCTTTTTGTCTGCAATTTCAGGATCGAGCCACATTTCATAGGCTGATTCTCAGAAATAATGCGAAGAAGAGGAGGGTGTACGAGGCCTTCATCGAGTGCGTTCCTCTTCTCAAGTCTCTTGAGGTTTGTAAAAAAAAACACAAACTCTTTACAAGCAAAATCATCATCATCTTGTGATTCAGGTTGGTCAGCGATTCATTTGTTGTGACATCATGATTTATTTTACCTCCACAAGCTCTCTGAGAGGATGCAGATTGTGGATGTTTTGGGAGTGCGAGTGTTCAAAGATGGAGAGTGCGTATTAATGCAGGTAAAGTGTTAGGACATTTGTCACTCTATCTTTGTCTGTCTTTGTGTTGGACTGAATACTAAATTCCGGCAGTGGCTCAGTCAGTAGGGGCTTGGACTGTGAGCCGTAGGGTCGCCGGTTCAAGTCCCCGACCAGACCTAAATATGGAGTGTGGACTTCTACTTGGAGAGGTCCCAGTTCACCTCCTGCACTGCCGTGGTGCCCTTGAGCAAGGCACCGGACACCCCCCCCAATCCTGTTGCTCCCCGGGCGCTGTAAACTAGCTGCCCACTGCTCCTAGTACTAGACTCCTGGTACTAGGATGGGTTAAAAGCAGAGAACAAATGTCGCTGTGTGCTCTGCATGTGTGACCATTAAAGAGGGTTTCATCCCTCCCAATTCTATCTAATTCTATTCTATAAATGTGCTGTTTTCTTCCTGCAGGGGGACGAGGCCGACTGTTTCTACATTGTGGAATCAGGAGAGGTGAAGATAATGATAAAAAGCAAAGTGAGTCTGAACAATAAATGAGTTACTCTACCTCTTTTATCTATGAATTTGATTGCTGGTTTTTGCCATTAAGGCATTAACTATTATATATGGAATCTTTTTTTTCTGTGATGTTAATGTACTGATTGACTCTCAGGCTGCTGTTTGTGTTACAGACAAAGGCGGGCCAGCCGGATAACACAGAGGTGGAGGTGGCACGCTGCTCTAAAGGACAGTACTTTGGGGAGTTGGCACTGGTCACCAACAAACCCCGCGCAGCGTCAGTTTACGCTGTGGGAGAAACCAAATGTTTAGGTAAGACCCGAGTGTTTATCCCTCTTTGTGTAGGGAGTACTTCATTTTAGGCCTCTGCACATTTATTTTTAGTAAAAGAGAGTGGCTGGAAAGTGTAGGAGGGATTGTTTCCACAAGTCCTTGAAAGTTTGTGAATTTGATGAACAAAATGAAGTTTAGAAATGGTCATGAATAGGCATCATCAAAGAAATGTAAGTTTTCTTACTTCGCTTTTCAACTTGTAAATATGTCTGTTTATATGCTCTATCTACACAAAATATAGTTTGCTTTTACTGTAACACAGCAGCATAGTTGTGGAGTGCTCTCACATTTAAGTCTTTATCTCCTAATTGTTCAATATGAGCTTCTTTAAATCCAATCCAATCCAACTTTATTTATGTAGCACTTTAAAAACTTTCAGACCAAAGTGCTGTACAGAGAGATAAGCTCACAAAACATAAAATAAATACATTAAAAATAAAAGATACAAACACAAAACAAACCAGAATAAACCTAATAATTAAAAAATAGCCATATAATAAAAAACAATAGACCACTGAAAGCAAATAAAAGCAACAATCTACTTGTTTCCGAATGCTAAGGAGAAGAGGTGGGTTTTAAAAACAGACAGTGTGGGAGCCTGTCTGATTAGCAAGGGCAGGTCGTTCCACAGTTTAGGGGCGGCAGCAGAGAAAGCACGGTCCCCTCCGCGCTTAGACTTA